AAAATCAGAAAGTTATTCATTATTACCACATGTTTTCAAAGTAGACTGAACATGTCCCCAGTCATTTTGCCAAAAACATCACAAAACCTGCCTGAGGGAATTAGTTAATCAAAGTCACATTACCAAACAAACATTACCTCTCAAAGCATACTGCTAATGACTTTCCATTGTTGTCAATCTTGTTTTTAATCCTACATTGGCTGCTACCGCTTTGGTTGTATTACTTTCAAGACTCCAGTGGCCCATTTACTTCAATAGCTTATTTCAATGTCAAATCCACCGTAGTTTGAAATCGAACGGTCTTACGCATAATGCTTGTTAAAAAAGTTTTGGGAAGTTAGACCTTCTTTTCTCATTCACCTAACTCATAACTCCTCAATCCTGTTATTTTATTATGAATGTTTTAACAAGTATAGTTTCCGGTATCATTAGCCTCGTTACGTCTTTGAGTACGTGCTTTACTTTGTCTTTTAAAGCAATCGTTTTTTTTAATAAATTCTCTATAACAATGTCTATCATTGTAATGTGTGTTCCTTTAGTGTGGTAAGAAACTGTGGGTTTAGTGGTTGCAAAAGTAAAAAATAGTCTGAGGAAATCGGGTGACTTCTCCAAACAATGGGGACAATATTCCAGTCCAAAATCAAGAAACGAAAAGTTTAGCTCAAAGAATTAAAGTTAGATTATCCTCGGTCCTCGATTATTCATTTCCTTCTCTGGCAATCATGTCATTGCCATTCATTAGTTTCTGAAATGCCTACGTGTTTGGTAGTGTGTTTTGTAAATAAGAAATAAATTGGATCTAAAATGTGGAGTTTCTGAGACTTCAAATATATGTTACCCCTGAATTGAGAAAGCCACTCATAAAAATGTATATCACTAAACAGCAGTGCCCAGTTTGAGATAACACTTATACATCCTACAGTATTATAAAATCCAGGTTGCATAAAGTACATTATTCATTTCACTCACTTATGTGCAGTTCTAAATTCATCCTGTAAGACACGTGTGTTGCCAAAAGAGGTCAGCAGAATCCTTTTTATTACAAAGAAAATAGCCCATTGAATCATTCAAGGTTGGTTGAAAATAGAAAATAAAGATTACATTAGACAAGTCAACAGATCAGTTTCTATTTCACTCAATGCCATATACATTAGAGATATTGTTTCCTATTATTATATTCTAACACAAGCAAAGTTTGAAACACACTGCAGTCTGATTATTCATCGGACCTTTAAATAAGTCACAAGTATATTTTATGTTTATAGTGACGCAGCTAATATCTACCTATTGTATGAGGTACAGGTATATGTCTTTAACCAGATAGTTATGAGTTCTCTTATTCTTAAATAAGAATGCCAATGATCAAAATAACCTTAGCTCCCATCTGATATAAATTGTGAGAATGTAACAAAAGTACAAGGACAGGAAAAAACGAAACATGCTACCTCTTAAGCCCCAAGCCTGTTTTTCAGGTTTCAGGCTCGAAAATGACATTCCCAGAACAAATGACCATATCTTCCCTTCTAAAAGGGTTAAATTAATAATATTTTTTCTCAAAGTAATGATAAACCTGTGAGTTGGATGTAGAAAAGTCAGAATCAAAATAGATGTTTTTTATTTTAAAGAAAATTCAGATTGAACATGGTAAAAAACTGTAAATTATAGTGTCCGTCCAAAAATATATTTTGTACTTATAGTGAAAACTATCCTTGGATGATGGGTTAGGTAGACTAAAAGCTTTAGGAATCCAAAGTACAACATATAATAAGTACCCTGTATCAAGATTGATGTAAAACAAGTGATATTTGACCTTTTTAGACAGATTTAGCAAAAAAAAACCTCTTCATTTGGATGGATTTTCCATATCTGGCCCCCCTTCTTCGATTTTGACATATGACATCTCTTCCTGATCGTTAGAGCCAATAGAATCGAAGGGAAATCGTCCCGCACACACTCATCTTAANCGGGTCACTCATTACTGGATCAGCTGCTGCATGAGACAGACACTGACGCTGTCCGAAGAGAGGGAGGAAAAAGAAAGGCTCCGTGTGTTTTATTATATTATATAGATTCGTTATTCATTTGTTTTAAAGCTCAATAAATAACCGCCACCTCCGGAGTCGGCTTGACTCGGTTACATGTGTTTCATCGTTAATGTCAGATATGTACTAAGTAAATACATTTGTTCCTGCTCAAGATTAGATTCAACTTTATTGTTATTGCACATATTACAGATACTGAGACAACGAAATGCAGTTTAGCTTCTAACCAGGAGTGCAACAAGCAGTAAAGTGAAAAGTAATGTACACAATCTACAGAATAAAAGATAGAATGAATTGAATAATGAACAAACAGTGAGGGGTATGAATACACTAGATATACACAGCAGCCTGGAGCAGTATGAACAGTGTGTATGAATATGCTAAGATATATAAAGTATGAAAACGGGAANGTGTTTGTTTTAGCTAAAAATGGTTCATATTGTTAGTTAGCTGAGTTTCTTATCGTTAAAAGGGTATGGAACATTAATAGTTTCATAAATGTTAAGAAGCCCTGAGACATAGCCTCGTAAAAAAACGGTGGGGGGGGGTCCACTGGGGGGACCCTCATGCTTAAGAGGTTAAAGTAATGTTGTAAAATTACAACAGTGGGTCTTACAGAGTCGTTAAATACAGTACTGTTTCCCGTTGACTTACAACGGAAAAGAGATGTCTGTAAAGCAGTGTATAATGCAGTTTTAGGTAAATCAAATTCACAGTTTGAACACTTAAACGGCCCTTATTTTAACCATTTGGCCCTAAAAGTTTGAGTGAAGCTTTTTGGCCCAGTCACTGGCGATGTGACACTAGTTGTCTGAGACTGCCAAGGCACACNCCACAATGTTTATCATCATGAAATTAATATCTATATATGTTATACTATAATTGCACTGCTTCCCGTTTTCATATGTATGAATATGCTAAGATATATAAAGTATGAAAACGGGAAGCAGTGCAATTATAGTATAACATATATAGATATTAATTTCATGATGATAAACATTGTGGAACAAACAAATGACCAGACCGTTCACCAGCCCCCCACCCCCCATGTTGATGTGAACTCTTTGCTTAACCTCTTAAGTACGAGGGTCCCCCCAGTGGACCGTCCCCCCACCGTTTTTTTACGAGACTATGTCTCAGGGCTTCTTAACATTTATGAAACTATTAATGTTCCATACCCTTTTAACGATAAGAAACTCAGCTAACTAACAATATGAACCATTTTTAGCTAAAACAAACACAAGAGTAATACCAAGCCTTTGAATTAGCATGGAGCAAAAAAATGCTAACTAATGCTAACGGACTTTTGCACAGCACTCACGGTAGCAATGCGCTTATTACTTATCGTCACTGCACAAACAAGATATCCGATTAAAGCTGAGACTCCACAGATTCCACACATGTAATGTCATCACTGTAGGACCCCGAATTGCGGAGCTCCTTTCTCAGAAAAGAGAAAGTAAACAACATCCGGTTTCAAAAATATTACAATAATTACGTCTTACCTTTTTTGATTTGTGATCAAAAGTTGTGTTCACCGGAATAAAAACGCCGCTCAAGGTTAATCCAATGTCTTTGTGTCACGTATCATTTTTTACTGATAATCCACCATCATATTTATGGCAATATACTGGGTATAAAGTTTTGCCGTCCAGGCTTGTACTTTCAGATGTGCTTTGTTTGCTTCACTATTATATAGTTCTATGGTAATGTTTACGTGGATTTGGGAACTGCCCCTCGATTCTATTGGATATTTTGGTTAAGAAAAAGGTGTAAATCACCCAAATCGACCAATGGGTTCCAGAGATATGATCCTGCGTAAAGTATGAAGAATGCCAGCCAGCGTAAGAACATTACGCAGCCAACTTAATTTATTGTTTACTACGTAAGGAAGCAGGAATTGCAGGACCCAGAGCGCACGGAGCACAGAGCGGACAGAAGATAACGGAATTGCTGTTTTATTGCTTATAGATTGTCAGAACATTTCAAAGGGGACACAGCCACATTGGATATTAACCTATGGATTAACTACATCATCGTTGTTATCGTTTTAATGCCATTGAAGACCAGTTTAGACCAGACAAAGACAAAGGTAAGCCACGTTAGCATTGTGGTCTACCTAGCGCCACTTCTTTTGATTTACGTTTTTGTTGATAACGTTGCAAGTGTGTATCTTTCAGTGTTGAGGTGGGCACCGTTAGATTCTGTGTCTTTACGATCATAAACGATGTGTTGGATGTGCAGCTAGGATAAGTAATAAGGGAGCTAGGAGTGATTTTCGGTGCAGTAATAGGTTAGCATTTTTCGCTCGGGGCTAATCCAGAGGCTCACTGTTAGCATTGTGGGGCTTTTTTTGAAAAAACAAATGAAAAAGATCAGTTAAATTAGTTTTTTCCCGTTATATGGATATAAAATATTCATAGTTTATTAAATATTAAGGTTCCTTAGACGTTGTTTCCTGCAAATGACGCGATTTCGGCCCCGGAGCCGGGTCCGTGGGGCTTAAGAGGTTTTAAACCTTTGCTGTCTCATGTTACTTCAAAACCAAACATGCCTGATTCAGCTATAGTGTCTTTTTCTGATCGTCTAATGGTTTTCATTAATACCATTTATCAAGCATGAGTAACTGTTTTCTTTGTACCTGAATACTTCTAAATGAATACATGTGGAGATACACCTATTAGGTTTTCATTGAAAGAACAAAGTGATGCAGGAGAAATGTCTGATGATGCTTTATTTAGAAAGATATCTTTTGAGAGCATTGCCCTTATGGTCTTAGAAAAAACACAAGCCCTCTATTCGCACAAATTCATATATTTATAGTTTATTGCAGTGTTTGTGAACAAATTGTAGAGGAACAGTAACATCTCAGACCCCTCCCAGGGGGAGATACCTCCTGTCAGCCCTCCTCTCTGCTGGAAGAGTCACTCTCTCTTCCCCTCTCTACATCAGTGGAGTTTCAACCCTGATGACTAAAGCTATCGACACTGTGTGGCGTCGTACTGGAGATCTGTGATTTATCAATGTGTATGGTTATATTTGCTCCGGTAAGTTTAAGCTCTCGTGTCTTGCTATTTTGTAGTTTTTGGTTAAAGTTAGATCTGTTTTAATTCACTGCTTGAAACATTATATGACTGATATTGTCAAGTGTGATCTTGATTTATTGATTAGCTGATTGGTGAAAAATCTGTCATATTGTCAGGTCAGTGCTTTTTGTTGATGTGACGTGTCGCGTAGAAACAGAGACAAATCTACTCAATCTTAATATGAGTATGCTGTGTATGAACTCTAAAGATCAAATGAATCAGATATTTCAGACCTAAAATAAAATCTGTGCTGTACTGCTGTGGCCACCCTCCAGCGCACAGTAAGCAGCTCTGTGAGTTGCCTTCCGACCTTTAAATTATGCAGGTATTGTTTTCAAACCAATTATAAATCTTAATAATCAGTAATTTATTGATGTGTATACATTATGCAGTGTGCTGCACTCAGATCTGATATTGGATTAATGAAATGTCTGAATTATTATCAACAAATGTTGAACATTTTATGGCTTTACTTTTGTTTTCCCAGATTTTTGCCATCTGTGCTTTTGCAACATGTGGAGGATACTATGGGCATCTCCAGGTTAAAGTGGACTGTGCAGGCAGGAGGCCGAGTAACCTCAGCATCAACATTGATTTTGGATATCCTTTCAGGTAAAGTGGTTGATTATGTTCCTGTGCAAAAGTATTATCATCTAATTAGGTGATTAATCTACGAATACACAAAGACCCATAATTCTTGTCGTACTTTCCGGTTTTTCTATTTCGTACAATCATTTGATATTTGACAATTAATCTATTAACATGTTGTGCTGCAAATCAAATTGTGAATTAACCGACTAATTAACAAGCTCATTTTACTGGATGTTTAAATAGATGCATTCAGACTTACCGGACATGTCCAGACAATCGTCTCTGCCTATTTCAGAGGACCGGTCATACAGACGGAAAAAAAAAGATTTAAAAGCTGCACAGCTTCAATCCATCATGTAGGCAGGCTCGGCAGAGGGGACCTGACCCATCTTAAAGCTCGGCCAATTTAAAAACAGGAAACTGGCCCAATTTAGGTCCAACATTTTTCACTGCAGCATTAAAAAAGAACTCTCAGCTAAGACTTAACCTCAGGTGGGATTTTGTGATCCGCTTTGCAATGGTGTCTTTCTTTGTCCCTTTCTTTTGACTCCTGCACATCTGCATGTTTCATGGCCACTTAGGTGCAATATAAACACCGCAAATAGTTGCATTTGTCATCCTCATTGTTATTTTGAGTAAACCATGAAGCCATTTTGTTAATTGAACGACTTCAGCATGTCTTGAGAGCGACTGGCCACCATTAACATTTCATTTGATGATTGGATGGTGGGTCTGTGGATGTGAACTCTCATGCCTTGTGGTGGACCTACCCCTAACTCCATGCTTCTTCAGTGATGGCCAACAGAACTGTTAATTAGTCGTCTCATTAACAGCTCAGCTGACTTGACACTGGTGTATGTGTGTTAGTTCCCTGTCATGTATAAATGTAACAGTAACTCAAACTGCTACAGAATTTTGGAAATGTCTTTGAAATGTTATTTTATTTCTGAAGGACGTTTTCATGTTTTCAGTAGGCACACATCTGAATAAGACTTCATTTGGACTCTGCCTGTAGAGATGCTAAATATGAGTACGGTACTATCTTTGCTTAGTTACTTACATCTTTGTGTTAAGATAACACAGAACTGTATGTATCCAAACGGAAATTGTTGTGCAGCAGTTTCCAAAAATAAATATTTAAACACATTTATTCTAATGGTCTGCAAAGCTTTTCATAACATGTGAATGTATCTCCATTTTCAAAGTGAATTTGGAAACTGTACTACATTAGGATGTTGCTATAGTATACTTCCTTTTGTCACATAGAAAATAACTGCTTTTTTCCGAGGCAGCGTTTTCATGAATATTGTGTCCCTTTGTATGCCACATCAAATAGTTTCTCACTTGTGTATATTTAGCCTGAACCTTCCTTTCCTAGCCACACATTTGCTAAAGAAAGAGTTCTCAGAGTGCCAGTGAAGGCCAAAGTGATGCCTTTCCCACCGACTGAACCTCCTCACATGTTTGTATCATTAACTGTAAACCTCCTTTCTGTCTTGCAGATTAATAGATGTGCATTTTAAGGCTCCCTTGTGTGTGGCAAAGAGGGAAGAGATTATTTTCCTGGATGGCAACTTTTCCTCCGCCTCTCAGTTCTTCGTGACTGTGGGTGTTTTTGCTTTCCTGTACTCTCTACTGGCAACCATTGTCTACGTCTTCTACCAGAACAACTACCTGAAGAACAACAGAGGCCCGCTTGTGGTCAGTGAGCTGATATCTTTAACAAACAATCATATAATAATACCTGAATTAGATATAAGTTATAGTGTGATACTGTTGTGTTTGTATAACATGAAAGACATTGCATTTACCATCCTATTAATTCATGTTTTCTTTCCACTCCTGAGCAGGATTTCGTTGTTACATCCATCTTCTCCTTCATGTGGCTCGTGAGCAGTTGCTTTTGGGCCAAATCTCTTTCTGATATTAAGACAGCCACAAACCCAACACAGGTGCTTCTGCTCATCTCAGCCTGCAGAGCTCATGAGAACAAATGCACGGCCACCCAGGAGCCTCTCTGGTCACGACCTAACACATCTGTGGTGGGTGTTCAGTCATCTAATTGTGCACTGAAACATACAAAAGGGTCAAATAAGAAACTCACTTCTGTCCCTTCTTCCTCCAGGTTTTTGGTTTCGTAAATGTTGTCCTCTGGGTTGGCAATATTTGGTTTGTCTTCAAAGAGACAGGCTGGTACAAGACAGGTCAGAGATATCCAACCAGAAGTGCTTCTGGGAAACGCCACAGTGAAATGAGGCAGCGTCTGTACATTGGGAGCAGCTTCGAGCAGCCGGACGAGGGTTTCGGTCCCCAACTCTCCAGACAAGGCAGCTTCAATCAGCAGGTCAACAGACAAGTTAGCTTCAACGAGTCACAAGTAAACCTGAGTTTACCGCACGCATATCTTGGAAAACCAATCATTTATGACAGGGACAATAAAGTAGCTTCTCAAGGGCCGATGATAGTTGTCAATGAGATGTGATTTTGGGCTGGTACAATGCTCCATGTGGAGAACCAGAGAGGGAAATGAATCTTAACGTCTAGGTTAAAAGGAAAACACAGATGGTATATTGTTGAGCATTTCCTGGATGATACAAGTTGTACCTTGAAATTAGAAATTGTAATGCATCACTTGACAGTCAAACTGAGTAGTCAATGCAACAATTGATAATAATATAATGATAATATAATAATAATAGAATAACGGGATATGTTTGGTCCCCTTTGGAGAATGGTTGATTTTAATCCTACAGTTTTGCCATAACCCAGGTTGGGGAATAAACACACATCCAGCGGGTAAATTATCTTGCAGTGAAGAAATACCATATATATATATATATATATATATGTATATCAAAGACAATTATTATAATCATTTTAGCCCTGCCTAGTGCAACATTTAGATGGATTTAGATTTTGTATTTACTTTAAGTATAGTGTGATACTGATTATTACTTATGTTAAATAAAGGGTTTATTTGAGTGTGGTAAGTGGTAGCAATATGTCTGTAGGTAAATATGCAAAATGGTGTGTCTACCTCTGTTAACTACATGGAAGATATTTATGATTTTACAAGCTAATAGTTTTCGGACTCAGAAAAGTTTGTTTTCTGTAAAGATAGTACTGTAGTTATTCTGACCCTTAACCACAGTCTTTGCTTTTATAAAAAAAAACGTTTTTCAATGCAGGGCCTTACAGGTGAGCTTATGTTTTCATTCATTCATTTTTTTTCGTTTCACCCGTTTTTTTACATATTTCACATAACATATTAACTTAGAGAAGTGTATTGATAGAAAGGAGCAGGGGGAAGAAAATCTTATTTGACCTACTCACTATGAGTTGGTCTGTTATCACAGCTGTCAGATTGCATGCTATACTACATATTCGCACAAAAATTATATATGAACCGTTCTTTTAGAATATACACCACTTTTGGATTGATTTAAAATGTTTTAACAATAGTTTATTTAAATTGTTTTAACTTAAAATCTTCAGAAATTCATTAAAATAAAATGGCAAAGAAATGAATGCTCAGCGATTTGGTTTGGTTTAGATTTAAACTTAGATTGTGTTAATATTGAACTATTCTCACTTCATTTATTATACATCTTTCTGATTTTGACCTTTGAATGAAAAACCTTTTTTGTTTTTTCCAACTGTGTCTTCATATATCTTCTGAAAATATTTGGCTCGGGACTGTTAAAAGGAGAGCCTGTGCAGATTCCTGTCTCAGAAATACACTTAACCAATTTACCAGTGTAATAGCTATGAATATTTCATGTTTGACTGTGGGATTATCAAATACATAATGTTTCAGTCAAGATTAACATTAGGATGTGTGCATATCGGTATAAATATATTTAAATTCACATTTTATTATTCTAGTGTCAAATAATAATAATCTTATAAAATAATATGTTGCAAACTAAAGAAACTAAGTTACATGATTTGGATTTTGAATATTGTGCTCACGTTGCACTGATACCTTTATTCCCACAGTTTCTGCATTATATACTGATCATCACTTTAATTGACAAAAGAGATAATCTCTATACAATTCATAACCTACTGTTCAAAATGTAATTATATATGTGTGTTTTATTGTAATGAATATATTAGGCATAGTTTATTGAGTTGTAATTGGAAATAATATAATGATGATTATTAATATGAAAATATAATGATCTCATCAATAAAGCCTGTTATGGACGTTTATAATGTTCTTACCTTATGCAGCAGAACTGGTGTCTTGAACACCAGCCAGGAAAAGTATTGAATGCATCTTATAATATTACATTTGTTTTTCCAACCTCTGTATGCAGCTATAATGCGAACAATTAGAACAAAGGGAGACAATGCTTGTGTCAGCCGGCCCTCTGACAGACACACTAACCACATGCAGGTGTCCAGAGAAAGCTATGGAAGAAAATTACAGTGTTTGAGCCCACAGCATGACAATTAGGGTCAGGTTATCAGCAGGAAATGGAGGGCTTTGGTATTCAAGAAGGGTGTATTTATCCCCTCTGAGCTGCACCATGTTATAGACTGATGTGTAACATTTATCCTTGGTAATGTCTGTATTTCCCACTAGCAGCGCATGCCTTTATTTACAACCGACAGTAGTATGCTTTATTTGTATTTGTTGTAGCTATACAAAAGACATCTATTGCATATCTGTCTGTTGTTGGGAGAGTCTGTCTGTCGGCTGCGAGGGTCTCAGGAGGTGTTTTATGCTGTACACACTGTAAAGCTTCCTGAGAGAAATGTGCAATTTGTGATGTTGTGCTATAACAATAAAATGGTATTGATTGATTAATTAATGTATAGGTTGATTGGTTGGTTGGTTAGTTGGTTGGTTGATTGATTGATTGATTGTAAGGTATTAGCCTGTTAAGAACGACTTCAAATTACAATATGCATTTGCTCACTTTTCTTGACACGTTTACTGCCATACAGTAGTTTATTCCACTAGAGTAGCCTTTAGTGCAATTGTACCCTTCGGAAATGTATTCTTACATGACACATAAAAGCACACTGCAGATATGATGTGAGGGTTCGTGTAATGACATTCGCCTGATGGTAGAGCATCACACTTGAATGTAGCATGCATGAGTTTGTTTTTGGTCTGCAGGGTTCCCACAGCAGATGATAAATAGTGTTAATCATGTATTTTTACAGGAGTTTTTTTTTATTGCCGGCAGATAAGCCTCCCTTGTTTACTTCCTCTCTTTAGAAGAGAATACTATTCTTAAACTCCAATTTCAACAGCAATTAGCTGCCATTTGTCAGCATATTTCAGTCAAATGCTTTGTTACTTTCAACTTTTGCGAATTACTGTAAGACTAGTAATGTTTATCCAACACATATTGGTTAAGTAGGTGTCCCTTGAATTACCTCAGGCCGCTCAAGAGGATTTACAAAAGATTATAACAAGGGCTTAGAGCGGGGTCACACGCAGCAACTTGATTTATGTTCAGTATGTACACTATTGAACTTTCATTTATGCTGAATATAAAGAGCAGACACTGAAAATTAAATATGTTAGATTTGTTGATTTAATTCAAACTGCATAGCAACCTCTGTAGAGGAAAAGCATACATCCTCTCCTTCTTTTCCTACAGCCCTTTGAGGCAACCTTTTTGTTTGGGGGATATAGAAATGAGACTTGAATTGACCATAACCAACCTTGGTAATTAACCACACTTTATAAACATATTTATATTTAAAATCTGTAAATGTATAAACATTTCAATTGTTAATGTATAATTCAAAGACAAAGTAACACAGGAGTAGATTTATTTTCTGTCACTCATGTATTATCTGAGGGGGTGGCTCACCCTTCACCTTAAATTGCTCCTGTGGGTATTGTCCACAGTATTGAATGTATTACATGTCTAATATATAATGTAAAGCGCTTTGAGCACTTGGAAAAACACAAAAAGGAAAACCATGAATTGTTATAATTATCTTATCTTTATTTTTCATATATACATACAATTAATGCCATTGCACTAGTAAAACATAAAAACAAGAAAATATCCCATGTTGGATACATATTCACCATAGATGAAGAAAGGTGATGATGTTTCAGCAAGTGTAGCTTGGTTTGACAGTTGAGGTTTGTTCGCTACAGTGTGACAGTTCATTCACACTCACTCACTTACACACTAATTTGTTTTACTTATTTACCCTTGTACACACACAAATGCTGTGCAACCTCTACAGCAATTGCATTTCATTACAATTGTTGGTTTATAAATATTAACAGATGAAATGTAATTTTGCAGCATCCTTATCCAGAGTCCGTTCATCAAAACCATAAATCCATTCGGCAAAAAGTGATCATTAGGAACATGTCGAAAATGATGATATCATTGTGTTTAAGACACGGAGGACACTTCTGTCTTGCTGGCAGAGACTGAGGTCTCGTCCTCCACCATGCCGCCCATTCCAATGGTGCTCAGCATGCAGTTACGGAACTGAAAAAGAGATCAAAGAAAAACAAATGCATGGTTTAGGATTGAGCAAAGATGAAAAAGCAGATTTTAAAAACTGGACTAGGGAATATTTAATATATTCAGCCCACCTGTTTGTTCAACAGCACGTAGATAACAGGGTTGTACAGGGCTGAGCTCTTTGCAAAGAAAGCGGGAATAGCTGCTGTCAGGGCGCTGAAGGCAGCTCCCTTGTTCAAGAAGATCCAACCAGCGAAAGAGGCATATGGCACCCAAGCTACCAGGAATCCAAAGACCATCAGGAGGCACATGCGTGTCACTTCCCTCTCAGCCTTCTGGGTGGACTCTGACTCCTGCTGCTGGGCTGCAGCCTAACGTTTTTGTGATCAGAAAATCATCATTAGGATTCACAGCACACGTGGTTTTGCAGAATTCTAAGATGAAAATGACAGTTGTATTTCTCAAACGTTTTTACTTTAAGGAAAACATTTAAAACACTTCACTTACGGCTTTGACTGTCAGGACAAGGCTTCCGTAAGAGAAGAAAATGAGGAAAACGGGAGTGAAGAAGTGGACAGTAAACATGTACATGACGAATGATTCATTGTTGAAGCCTGGAGCCAGAGTGTAGTAGTCAGGTCCACAGGAGCACTGCATGCCTTCAGGAAGGTATCTGTTTAAGTTTTAAGAAAAGAAGGCAAATCATTAAGAGAATCAGCCTTAAAACTTACAGTATCTAATTACAGTATCTATCTATGCAACTTTCTTAAGCCTAGATGCTTTGTTTGAGTTTTGGATGTTTTTAAATCTTATGAAAAATGTGAATTACCTGGACCAGCCAAACAGTGGGGGTCCAGCACATGCCAAAGCCATGACCCAGGTGATCCCAACACCAATTCCAGCGTGAGTATTACTGAATTTAAAGCTTCCCATGGGTTTGCAGACAACAATGTATCTCTCAACAGCCAGCACTACCAGAGACCAGAGAGCAACTTCACCTGTAGAGAGGAAAGGCTCCCAACCCCCCCCCACCCCCCCCACAACCCCACCCACGCCCCACCCCACCCCCCCCCCCCCACCAGCGCCCCCCCTCCATCAAATCAAATCCAATTACCCCCCCCACCCCCCACCCCGAAAGGGTAACACCAAACGTTGTTGTTACATAGAGAAGTTGTCGGTCGTGATGGTA